TTGCTTTTTTTGACATTGCCTTATAGTAATTTGTAGATTTGAAATATTGAGCATAAACTAATCGTCAGTTTTAAACAAAGTGCTTCAATCATTGTTAGTTTGTTAACCAATACCCACTTACTCCAAATAGGCAAATACAACTTACCACACATCATTAAACTAGTTGATGTACCCTACAATTATAGAATTTTCGTCTTTCTTTTTCTCACAAATTGATGCTTGTTAAGTCCAAGCACATTCCACCATCTTCTTCGTCTTTTTCCTTCACGTTTTTCACTCCTTCTCGGGTCTCTCGTTATCTCTAGTCTAAAGGGTTAGCAAAAATAAAGAGAACAAATTTGTCATTAATAAAATAAGTGGGGATAAAAGAGTAAAGTCTCATCATGGATTTCTCACCCTCACCCAAATCACACCCCTTAGGATGGAATTTGCAAGTCCATGGGGCCTCAGATTTGGGCCATCAAAGTTTGCAGGCCCCACAGATTTATCTCCTCTAAAACCTCGAAGCAAACAATGAATTTGTTCGAAGCAAACAAGGCCTTAGTCTCCCCTAGCCGAGTTTTCATATCTTTTTGTTTGTGAGGAAAAACGGAAGGAATAAAATGATGATGATAAGTTGATAACCGAAGAAGAAAACCGGAGGAAGTGAGAACGAACACGGTGGAACGTTGCCTTTGGATCTGAGATTCGTTCCCAACAATTTTCACCAAGTGGAATTACTACAGCTCGTACAGATCCATCCACAATTCAACTTCTCTTTTACCGCTTCTCTCAACCATCTTTATCTCCACTCCGCCCTTTCTTCTGGAATTCATCCCCTCGGTTTATCCCTGACTTAATCATCTCTCTCCTCCAATAATTTCATTACCCCTCTCTCTCAATCTCTCACTTTTTTTTTTGCGTGATGCTGCTGCTGATATACTATCATCTCCTTTTTTGTTGGAAATATATTAGACTCACATCTCATTCTCTGCGGTTCCATTTTTGGTTTGGGTGGGTGGGTCAGTCTGTTTTTCCCTCTGTTCCTTGTATTTTTTTTTAGAATTGGGTTTGATTTCGGTTGTGACGAGCGATGTACTTGGTGATATTTTTGCTTTGTTTATACGGATTTTGATTCGTTCTGGGTTTTGAATGACTGTCTCTCGCCTTTTTTATTTGAACAGAATTCGTGGTTATCCTTTCCTCTTTGCTTCTTAATACTTTGTCAGTTTGTCTTCCTCAATCTCTGAATTTCTTCTTTTGAATTGAAGTTCAAGGCCACCTGTGGATGTAAAGCTTTAGTTGCTTGTGTTCAGATGCTCTATCTCTTCATTGATCGAGTTCTGTCAGCTTGTGTGATAACAAACAACCATGTGTCTGGAGTTAGGTTGATTAGCATAATGGTCAACGTTTAGAAAATTATGGGTTTTGTTTCTTGAATTTATTGCTGTTGCCTTTTGTGTTTCTTTACCACCACGGAATTCAACTGTTCTCTCTTCATATGTCATTCGTTGCTCCGGTGGTTTTATGGAATTGTGTTGAATTGCAGTAGATGAAGAATCAGATCGAAGGGAAGAAATATGGCAGCAGCTGAAGCAAGAGCTGCCTGGCAGAGAGCAGCAAATCGTTGTTTTGTTCAGGAGGATGCCAAAAGAGCTCCCAAGTTAGCTTGTTGCCACTCATCATCATCCAAATTAAGTGAAGGAGAGGGACCAACTGGTGCAGCAGAAGCGCCTGATAGTCCTGCTTCCGGCTTCATGCCGTTCAACCGTAATCCTTCTTACTCCAGTCTTCCCCATGATACGAGATGGTGGCTTCAGTTGCAGCCCTGCTATGGTTACCAAAAGGGTTTAACTTTTGACCAGCTGAATGCTTTAGAGGCAGAGGTGGAGAGTTTGAGATCTGGAGTTGGAACCACAACAGACTCCATAATGGCCCAGGAGGTTGTTAGTTCCCTTGATCATAACTCGGATAGTACTTGGATAGATGTCAAAAAGAGTTGCGAGTCTTCGCTTGATGCTGCATATAGCAAGATTTCTGCAGACTGTTTCGTCTATGTTTTCGAAGGTGAAGATCAAGTAAACGGTCTTAATGCTAGTAAAGAGAGAAGTAGTCAATCTGTGGAGGCTGATCCTCTTGTTGCTTTCCATGAGATAGCAAAGAGCAATGTGAATAGCTTTGACCCGGAATCTCCTTGGAGTACTGTTAGTGCAAAGAGTGTGCCATGGTGGCGAACTGCAGATAAAGATAACTTGGCCTCGTTAGTTGCACAGAAGTCATTGGACTATATGGAGAACTGCGATCTCCCTCCTCCTAGAAAGTTTCAGATTGACGGATTCCCTTGTGCTGATCCTAGATCTTCAAATCATGATGGTTCAGCGTCACATTTGTTGGATTGGAGAAAACCTAGCAGATGTGTCTCCGACCCAATTGTTCATATAGCAGGACCTACTGAAATTGCAGTGGGAGGAGGGCAACTGGCTTCGACTGGAGAACATTCACAAAGTGGCTACGACAATACATTCAGGTAACTCTCCTTGATTACATGTAGCAGTATGATCCAACCACTGCAGTCAAAATTCCAACTCAATTCTTAAAAGCTTAAGTTATTAGAGTTCAGTGAACCAATATAGTCTGATTCTATACATGTCATAGAATTTTGTGACCAAATATGCTTCACCTTTTGCTTTGGTGATTGGATATTTCAACCAGGCTTTCCTAATAGATATTGTATATTTATAATGTTCTGATCTTGTTGTTAAAAATGTTATTTTTGAAGGTTTATATGGCATCACTGTTATTCGTTAATTATAACCCTTTTTATGTCAGTCGTAAAACCTTAATTATATAGTTTGACTACCTTGTGTGTGAATTAGTGAGTGCTTACTGTTAACATATTACAAGATGTTGAATGTTTTAAAGATATTAGACTGAGGAATTCTCTTGTTTAGTAGATTAACGTGATGCATCAATCTCAGCAACTTAGAGAAGAGGGATATGGAGAAAATAGTTCAATTGCTGAAGATTATATATTTGTTGCTCTGCGACACATTGATTTTAATCTGTACAAAAATAAACAAGTTGGAAGCTTATCGTGATCCATAAACTCCTACAGACTCAACTGAAACCAGCACTAGTTGTTGGCATGAGTGTTGATGTATTTCTTTAATAGCTGAAGGATGACCATGTGGTTCACATAATCACATTACATATTTATTCCCGTGGGGCGCTTGCTATTTTCACATGCAAGTTCCTATCTGTTATGTGGTCTTATACATCTCTTTCTATGTATGTGAACCTTGTCTACAGTCCTACGACAACACTTAAGGATGTAAGCCAGGATCCCGAGAGCGACCCTTGCAAGGCTTGGCTGCTGGAAGCGCTTCGGCATTCTCAAACACGTGCAAGGGAAGCGGAGAAGGCTGCAAAGCAAGCCTGTGCAGACAAGGAGCATGTCATTATGCTCTTCTTAAAACAAGCGTCCCAACTGTTATCCTACAAACAATGGTTTCAGCTCTTGCAGCTTGAAACTCTTTACCATCAACTGAAGAACAGTGAGGATCCAATGGCCACTCTATTATTCCCTGTAGCCCTTCCATGGATGCCTCCAATGGGTAAAAACTGGGCAAGAACCGGTCTAAGACCACAAAAGGTAGCTATAAGCGAGGGAAGAGGAACCGGGCAAGGCAGGACATGAAGCGGTATGCAGTCGCATTTGCATTGGGGTTGAGTCTTGTTGGTACAGGGTTGCTCCTTGGTTGGACTGTAGGGTGGATGCTGCCTTTCTAGAAGGAACGAGGTGATGTGATGTATTGTCTAAGTAAATTTCTATTAGTTGGTTGTTTAGATGTTTGATGCAAGCTTAATTTGCAGTGCTGTAGAGAGCAGAGGTCGTAATGTGTAGGGGTTGTGTGGACTGTGGAGGGATGGCGTTATGGAACTATATGTTTCGTTTTCTTGCTGATTGACTGTATATACTCTGTATACAATTTTGATTCTAGGTTCGGTGTGAAGTTAATGGTAAGCTGGTGATAGAAACCAACTGTTTCTATTATAACTAGCTTGTTACCCTGCCCTTTGGGCAGGTAGTTCTATACGTCTTTTATATTTTTTTTCATTTACTTTGTAATTTATAAATTATGGCATACATTTAAATTATTTATTTGTTGTTTAATATACTTTTATTCAAGACAAAGTGAATAAAGTCTAGTTAATTTATTTAGTTGAATATAGAGATGCAAAATATTCAATGTATTCTAATTTATAAGTGATTTCGAAGAGATTTATCATGTTGTTGTTGTCGAAATTGTCACGCATAACTATTTCGATTGCATTGTATCATTTTTTCAAATTCAAAAGTTGTATTAAACAACTCGCCATTAAGAGCCTCATATTATACTATTGAACTTCGTTCATCCATGATTTTAGTAAATTTTGTGTCATAAATTGAAGATCTCCTGTCATTTACTTGATTGAGGGGGGCGGGGGGGAATTAAATTGTGCTTCCCTTCATCTTCGGTAATTAAAAATTCAAATCTATTTACTAAACAAAATCACCATCTTCAATTTCTGCAAGGAAAAGGAAAACAGAATTAGAGAAGTAAGTTTGGACGGAGTTCATGATGCTTTGGGTGATTAATGCATGTGATGTGGGATTTGAAAAGTAATATAACAATGAGGAATTTTACAATGTTATATAGTATTGGTGTTATAGGTTTTTGTCTTTATGGTACAACTTGAAATTGTACATTTAACGTTATGATACAACTTTGGATCATACCTATACTGTTTGTACAAATTCTTTTATGGTACAACTTGAACTTGTACCTTTATGTGATGGTACAACTTCAAGTTGTAAAGTTGTACCATAACATAATGGTACAAATTCTTTTATGGTACAATCTAAACTTATACATTTCATGTTATGGTACAATTTTAAGTTGTACATTAAAGCACCAATACTATATAGCATAGTAAAAATGCTCATAGAACAATATGATGCATGTTGATACGAAAGAAATATCAACCAAATTGCTACTGGAACTGTAAGGAAGCCGCCTATAAATCTCAAATATGCAACCTGCATGGGAACAAAGATGTAACAGAACAAAACAAAAGAGAGAATTAAGTTGGATTTAAAATTATCTTGATTGGTTGAGTCTACATAATGTTGAATATCGTATCATATCCGAGGATTATATGCATAAAAAATCAATAAAAAAGCCTATAAACGACGGCAACTCCCTGCTTTCATAATTCAGATAAGTTGTTCAATGTAGTTCCATCTACAAATGATGATATTTTTTTTGGGAAATACGAATGATGATTCAAAGTGGAGAGATACTTCCTCAAATTACCAACGGAAATCAATTACCCTTCATCTAAGTAATGTGATACAAATGGTTGGTGGATTTTTGGGCTACTCCTTCCCAGTGATTCACTACAAAAGCCAATGCTTACCGTAGAATCTAAATTTGATCAAGAACATGAGGAGAGAGATTGCAACTAACCAAATATCAGAGATGTAGAGATCGAGGGAGGGAAGACGGAGGTGCTGAAGCGTCGGGGCGGTCTCCAGGCGTGATGAAAAACTAATACATTTGGATTTTGGAAAGAATGATATGGCGGAATTATATATAACATAAAGGGTCTAGAACCTGGGAATAAAAAAAAAGGCAGTTGTTGGGGCGGATGAATCATGCAAATTTGAGGGGAAAGATCCAACTGCCGTGATAAAAGAAAGAGGGAGATGGTAGTTAGGGATCGGGAGGTGGGATTCTCAGGACTCAGGATGGCTGATTTTTTCTTTTTTTTTTTTTGGAGGGAGGATTTTTCCGCCGAACTGAGAGGAAAGAGATTTTTTTTTATGGTTGACGTGGCAGCGTAAATTCTCAGGAGCGCTGATGTGGCAGGGGTCAGAATCTGAAAGTGCTTTAATATATTTTAAGATTACTAGGATTAGTATTATTAGGGTTATGAGTCGTATTAGGTTTATTATTAGGGGTTTTCAGTCTTTCGTTATAAATATGTACTTTGCGTTTTATTTCAGAATTAATTATTTAGAAAAGTATCTCGAACCCTAATATCTCTAATCTCTCTTAAATTCGCCGCCTATCCCTAGGCCGTCGGCCATTCTTCTCCTCAATCTCCTAATTTCCTCTTCTAAATCTCTAATCCCCAATTCTGTTCTTTCCCAATTCTATCTAAATCCCTAAACTTTTATCAATTTTCAATCTCACCAGCCCAATCGATAGAACTCTAGAATTATGTTTCTAACATTTGGTATCAGAGTCCGATTAGCTAACACATCCTCCGTTGCGTTCTCGTCGACTCCAGAACTGCCATCCAAACGAGCATCCTCTCCCGGCGTTGGAGATCTGTCTGGAAAGGCGTCCCCACCCTCAATTCGACTCAAAATCCTTCGACACCCGTTTTATCTCCCATCGATTCATCCCCAAAATCCTCTCCAGCTGTTACGCCGTCGCAATCGAACAAATCATTTTGGAAATCGAGAAGCACCGACGCGCGGAGGAGGGCAAAGCGTGGGGAAGGAGAAGCGTCACCACTGCGGGGTGGTCGGAAGGCAGGCGTTGGAGATGCTCTCCAGCGCCTAGATGTTGCATCGTCGATGGATGAAAGGAAGAAGACAGACTAAGATGTGGATGGGACAGAGGAATTTTTTTTATAACACGAGGAATTTTTTTGGTCGAAAGGACGTTGGAAATTTGTTTGTGATTTTAATTTTAATTATTATGATTTTTTAAAAAATTTACTCTTATACCCTTATTGTTACGATAACAACAAAATGAATGTTGTTATTGTATCTCGTCCCACGCCTAAACTACTGCGAGTCGGCTAAAAATTTAGGTGGATCAATATGCCTGAGGTATTTTGAATTGATTCGTTTTGAGTCAATTTCAATTACCTGGGGTGGAGGCAGGTAATTCGAATTGACTCGTTTTAATTTCCTCGTTTATAAGACGAGACAATTGATCAAATTGATTCATTTCTACTTTCTAGATTGATTCATCCAAACGACCCCTAGTTGCTATTCTCGCCGTATCTCATCCGAGTCGGATTTTCCCGGCTCATTTGCAGGTTGTCTTGTGACTCTTGTCCCAAAATCTTCACTTCGCAGTTCGCATTCTGCCTTTAGTGCGACCTCCAAAAATTTCGCGCCTCTGAAATTTCTACTTTTCTTCCGCATCCTAGCTCAATTGCTTTCACGATTTCAAGCTCCCTTTCTGTAGCGTTTCTTCCTCGATTTTGCTAGTTCTCTCAGGAGTAAAATTCCTTTCCGACAACGGACGTTTGAATTCATCCATTCTATCACCACCGCTCCTCCCAGCTCGGTTTTCGTTGGCGGATTTCCGCCCCTAGGGTTTGGAACTCGGCTTTGAATTCCCTAGGTTCTCGCGATCATTTTAAGGGTTTCTAAGTTTCCTGGGTTCGGAATTTGCATTGTACGTGATTAAGTGTCGCCATTGTGTCCACGAATCTTGGTGCTCTCATGCGAAATTAGGGATTCGTTTTCCTTGGAATGATAATAAAAAAGACGATGAAAGTTGAGGTGCCAAGTCTCAGGCGGTGTAAGTTGGAAGAAGCTTTCAGCGATCATGACGACGGCAACGAAGAAGAGGATGAGTACGCATATTCCTTCATCCCCAAGATGCGGAAGATCGACGGGTACGGTTCCAACGGGAGGATGAGCGTCTACGGCGATGTTGATGACTTCGGCAGTTGTGCTACAGGCTCCGGGTCGCATGTAGCTACTGAAATATTCTCCAATTTGAGGTCATTGAAGAATCAGAAGCTCAAAAGGTCTCGGTCTCCGCCATTCACATCCTCCCGAGGAAGAATCCACACGCTTCCTTCGAGGTTCAATGACTCCGTCGTTGATTTGTTGAAGAATCGGGGCTCTAGATTCAACGACTCTGATTCCAGCTTTGAGAATGATGTTTCCGTTGACGTGGCTACGCATAGCGTTCTTGGGGATAGATGTAGGATGAGATATGTAAAATTTGAGAACGATCATTCTTCCGGATTCACGGAACGGAATAGTGGAATTAGTGCTGTACGGTTTAGCAATCGCAAGTTTTCCAAGTATGAGCGGCAACATTTGAGTTTAAATCGTTCCACGCTGGAGACTGTGGACTCTGATCCGAGTTTGGAACGCAAGGGTTCCCTGGAGTTGACGAAAGGAACATCTAATCTTAGGAAGGACGTTTACAGGCCAGAGGACTTCGCTCTTGGAGATATAGTTTGGGCCAGGTGCGGGAAGAGATACCCTTGGTGGCCAGCTGTGGTAATCGATCCTATATTGCTAGCTCCTAAAGCTGTTCTTAGCTGTTACGTCCCTGGCGCTTTATGTGTTATGTTTTATGGGTACTCCAAAAATGGAACGCAAAGGGTATTTTCCGTTGTCTTTACTCTTTGACCACGTCTCCAGTTACTGGGTTTTCTTGCTTTGTTCTTGAATTTGATTTGTCAATGGTAATGTGCAGGATTATGCATGGCTTAAACAAGGGATGATCTTCCCCTTTGCAGAATTTACCCACAGGTAACTTAAGTTTCAAAACTCGCATTCTGTTCACGGAAGGAGGATGCAATTCCTGATTTCCTGTTTCATCAGATTTCAGGGGCAGACTCAAATGTTCAAGTGCAAGATGAGTGACTTTCAGATGGCATTAGAGGAGGCGATCTTAGCTGAAACTGGTTTCCTGGATGCAGACAGTACATCAAAAGCACCTTTCACAGAAGCTCACCTGATAGAATTCCAGCATGCCAGTACTTTCAGTCGAGATCAATATCGTTCCTACCAGGTGAGTTCCTGGGACCCCATTTCTTTGTCATTTTTCTGAACTATGATTAATCCTTGCATTAAGCATTATGAAATAGTTAGGTTGACCATATCGAATTTTACTTAATCACAATGACATTGTAAGTTGATGGTTTTGGTATGGTTCAAAAGCGTCTGTCTATTCTAGATGGATCGACGATGAGAATTAGTACATCCTTACTTTTTGTTATCATCTTAGTTGACAGCTGCTGAATAACAGAGACTCACTCACAATCGTAGGCTAGAAAGTGCTTTTTGGGGATATTAGGTGCTTCTGTGTTGAAGAACCATTCTTGTGGACTTGAAGGTAGATATCGAGCAACTGGAAGCAGATGGGATAAAAACATACTTAATTTACATGGTGGTTATGTAAGATAAGCAATGCCGATAAACACACACATTATCTCAAGTCCGGATAGCTTGAAAACTGATATTTGAATTGGATCACTACTATGAAAACATAGATTAGTTTGTGATTATATAATTGTAGAAAAATATTCATTTCCGTACTTGTTGTTCAGCAAGTTCCTTGATCCTGTATCTGTTGGGGAGGTAGGAGTGTAGCGATAACATATTCTCAAGTTTATAATGCTCTTTACTGTTCCAAATTCAGGAAAGTGAATGTGCAAGAACTCATTTCATGGTCTTACCTGTCATAAACTTGTTTGACGTAGGCTGTTTGCCTTATTGATCAGCTTATGTTGATTTATCTTTTTTAAATCCATTTACACCAATAGACACTAGTTATTCTGCCTAGTGTCAGATTCCTGGTTTCCTGAAATACTTGTTTGACTCCCCATTTTAATATGTTTATGGTGTTTTTATGGCCAGTACTTATGTATTATTCCCCTTCCAGGGTGCGTGTTACAAGGAGATGAAATGCTGTGGTGGCTGCAGTCTGATGCTGCCCTGCAAAGTTGTGAAGAGCCGGAAGGACTCAGTGTATATGACCGAGCTACTGTGTAAACATTGTGCCAAGGTTCCTGGTCAAACTTTATGCAGCTAGATTATCAGACATTTTCTGTTCCCGGTGTTCGTTATTATCTTCGGAACTATCTTACTCTCTTGCAGTTAAGGAAGTCCAACCAGTATTGTGGGATATGCAAGAAGATCTGGCACCATTTAGATGGCGGAAACTGGGTGAGGCCTAGTTATTGAGCTTGGTTATTTACTTGCTTTATTTCAAAAAAGGTAATAGTTGTTCTAATGGATTATTGACTTTTTGAATTAGGTCTGTTGTGATGGCTGTAATGTTTGGATCCATGCCGAGTGCGATAACATTTCGAAAAAGCTTTTCAAGGTTTACCTCGCATAATACAACTTTTTCCTTTTCTCATATTCTCTGATGCATATAATTGGTTTGAACTCACTTGTTATGGTCTGTAGGACCTGGAAAACAATCAATATTATTGCCCTGATTGCAAAGTGAAGTTCAAAGTTCCGCCACTGGATTCCAATAGAAGGATGCTTCCTGTCAAGTTTGTTCGCCTTTTTCTTTGTTGTTTGTACATTTCAGTTTGCATATGCTTATAATAGTTGTAGATACTAATGGTTGAAGTTTTTTATTTGAATTAGGTCTATTCTAAGCACTGAAGAAGCAATGGCACCTGAGAAAGTGATTGTTGTGTGCAACGGGATGGAGGGTACATATCTCCGGAAACTTCATTCGTAAGGCCTAACCACTTTGCAATCTCTAATAGTCTTCCCTTTTCTTTGTTATGATACTGAAAGCTCGTTAAGAAACTTACCAGCAAACTTCTCTCTCCTGTTTGCCTCTGTTTCTCCTTGATCTACGTTCTTTGATTTCTTCTAATTTCTCTCACGTCAATGCCAGCTTGATCGTGGATGATCAAT